ATTACAAAACTTAAACTATTAGTCCTAAGTGTTTTTGAGAATTCCTAGGTTCGGATGAGATTCATTGAAACTATTCAATGGCATGTTTAAATCTCGATATGCCCCTCCGTTTGTGACTGGGATGCCGAGGATCACAAAGCGGGTGTGAATTACCATGCAAATTCACATGGTGCCTTCATTGTAACGATCACCTATTCGATGTGCCGGTAAACCACACACGCTCCATCGAACTATGATAAACAATGAATCACCCTTTGCCACCTTCGCTTAGAACCAATTAGTGTGCCGGTAAACCACACACGCTCCACTAACTTCTTAGCAAGGTGCAAAGTGTAATTTCATGGGATTGCATCAATTCACTTTTCCTAAAGTAACTAAGATTGGGAAATTTTTAAAACGTGTAGTTACTTTGTATTTCTTATTATACTTTTAATGAGAAGATGAGGTTGCCCTATCCTACCCGTTCGGCTAACGACCCTCCACCAATCAAGCAAGCGGTGGGTGTGAGTGTACACCATTAAGCGCCATTTTATAGGCCGCAACCTTATACCCACCTTATAGATCGGCTTCGTGAATGAGGCCTACTAACGGTAAGACTAGCATTTAGTTATACATATATATATTATTCTAGTAATATCATATTAGTATAGGGTTGTATTTTAAAACCTTTTAAAATCTAGGGTTTGAAATTTAAGTTGTCTAAATTAAAACTTTTAATCACAAATATAAATTTCAAAACTTTAGGGTAGGTTTTAAACATTTAAAACATGAAGGATCAAATAACAAATAATTCCAATTAACAATTAATATCCTAATTATCTTTATTTGATTTATCCAAGATTTCTTTTAAGATAATTATCAAAATAATTAATCATTTATCACATAAGGAAATTAAATATTTTATTAGATGATAAATATCTTTAATTAGATCAAGATTATAGTCATATATATAAAAAACGGATTAGGGTTGATCTAATATGATTAAGGTAAGTTTCCATAAGATAAACATGAAAAAATCCCGGTTTTGCCTAATCCAGACGCCCGGACTCGCCGAGTACAGGCCTACTCGCCGAGTCCACTTTGGAACTCGCCGAGTCCATGACTCATAAACCCAAAAATCGAATTTTGCAGGTTTGTTTCAGTTAATCAAGCAACAATTTAAAGAAAACCAAGCTAGGCTCTGATACCACTGATGGGTTTTAGCCATAAGAACTTTCCTATGTGCGCATGCAAAACCCTAATGCTTGGATCTAGGCTTTCTAATTAAACATGCTTTGAATCCAAGACTTCTAATGGCTAATTAGGTTAAATAACAACATTGAAACGGATCTAGAATCATACCTTTGAGTTCCTTGTTGATCTTGTTGTCTTGGAGCTTCTAGAGTCACAAATGTCACTCCTCTAATGGCTTACAAACACCAATAGCAAGCAAGATGATTTAGGAGAGAGGAGAGGGGAGGAATTCGGCCAGAGTATCTCTACTTTTTATGGTGTGTTGAATTCCTCACCCCTAGGGTCTATTTATACTTGTAGACTCCTTAAGGGTTACAACCTAAACCCTAATTGGATAATCTTCTCTTAAGGCTATCCAAATCCATTCCATAGATAAGCCTTTGGACGATTTTAGCTATCCTATATCTCATAGAATTCGTCCAAAGCATATCCCAATGGATTTATAGTCTAAAGTTTAACTATCAAACAATTGACAATTTATACCCCTTTATTTAATTAATCTCTTTAAGTCACCAAATTAATTCCAATTAATCTATGACTTATATTAATCAAATAACCATATATTATTCCTTATAATATTTACTCTCTTTTAACAAATCATCCATCAAGTTGCTATGGTGAAGGCAACCCAAAAGGACCATGCACAACCGGATCAAATACTTGCCTAATATAGTTGCAGCCTTAGACACTATTCCAACACTTTGATCTAGAAATCACCGTTCAAAAACTTATTCAGATTTGAATTCCTTACATTACTTATTGATTTGATTTACTATTAAATTTCTCTAAAATCGTGGCGACATATGATCCTTATAGCGTCACATTAAATTTAGCTAGCATCATTAGCTCTAATAGTTGAGTTCCTAGTCTTTTTTACAGCTGATTATGAGGTTTGGGTACTTCATATGGGAGATAATGTTACTGGTATTGAGAAAATTGGTTCTCATGTTTAGAGATCGATGATTATTGGTCCACATCTATTCTCAAAGATGAAGTTGTCAATTACATACAGTGTTGAATATGAAGGACTTCTTGATATGTATTTATACATCACTCTTGAAGAGGATGAGAAAATTGGATATGATTTGAAAGAAAAAAGAGAAATTTTCTTTTCTCTTGCTCCAAGTACAATTCGATTGGTAAATTCTTGTGATACTGCTCGTAGAATATGGAAATAATTAAAATAATTATTTACTAGTGATGATGAACAACTTCATTCTATTCAAACTTCTTTGATTTTGGAGTTTGGATCATTCAAAAAAATCTAACGAAAGTATTATTCAAGTTTTCGAGAGATATAATCAGCTGTTAAGCCGATTAGTGAAGTATGGTTTGAATTGTAAAGAAATATAGAACAAGATGACATTTCTACAAGGTCTTTATCCCGGGTGGACTAGTGTTTCAATTGTGAAAGCACATGAACAATTCAAGAAGTAAAGGATGTGACAACTAGTTGGAATTCTGAAAGCTCATGAAGAAGAAGTGTTTGATGTTATGAAACCAATTGCTAACGCTGGTCTTTTTGCTCTTGTTGCAAAGGAAGAAGTTAAAATGGTGAAGAAATCATAAGAAATAATTATTTTAAGTCTCGATTCCGATGCGACTGAGGATAAGTAGACGAGTCAGGAAAATGCTCTAATGGTAAGTAATTTGAAGAAGTTCTTTAAGAAAATTTTCTCCAAGTTTGGTTCAAGATATGGAAATTATTCAAGATAAGAAGGTGAAAATTTTCAAAACTACAAAAACGAAAATTCTCATTCAAACAAAAATAACAATGGCGGATACGATGGTGATAACTCAAGGAATTATCAATAATCTGAAGATGAGAAGAAAGAGAAGAAACTTTTGGGAGATTCAAGGTTACATTGTAATTTTTGTAAGGGTAAAAATCATCTTGCGAAGGATTGCATTCTAATAAAGAAGAGAGAGAGAAAGAGAGAGAAAGAGAGAGAGAGAGAGAGAGAGAGAGAGAGGAAGGACAAGATAAAATTTAAAGCATATCATGCTAAAATAATCAAGGATATTAGGAAAATGAACATTCAAGGAAAGGCTCTTCTTGAAGAAGATGGTGATAGTGATAGTGCAAACATTGAATTTTGGTCAATTGATTCGGAGGATGAAGAAGTCTGAAGGCCAACTCATGGTGCTATGTTTATACATGATGTTGTTTGTGCAGGAAAAACTAAAGGCAAGTGTTTGATGATGAAGAGTTCAAATTTCGATGGTTCATACTGGAGGTCCAGACCTGACTCAAGGAATTAAGATTCTGATTCAAATTCTCAAGCTACTTATATGTCAACAAAGAGTGTGGGTGAACATGTTAAGTCATGTGAAAAGGTGGTTAATAAGATACATTATATTATTATATCTTTAAATATTTATACTTCTCATTAGGAAGATGAATTAACAAAATTAAGGGAAACTATTTCATAGTTTAGTGAATGTAACATCCTGTTTCGAGGTAACTTTTAATTAAAGTTCTCGGGTCTTTAAGGATTGAGTTTGGACCTTAAGGGATAATATTTTTGGGATAGGTGTTAAGACATTGGGGTGTTTGGCTTAATTTAGATTTTAGGCTTGTTGGCTCAGGCATACCGTGACATGGTAGGCTGACGACCACGATGTGGTACGTTGCTTAAGTGAAGAAGCGGACTTGGCTAAATTTTGATTTATAATGTTAATTGTTAAACATATATATATATATATATATATATATATATATATATATATATATATATATATATATATATATATATATATATATATATATATATATAGGGAAAAGTGAATATACCCTTAAGGGTATATAAGTTTACGTACCCAAACTCATCATAATACATGGTTTTGTATCATAATATACATTGTAATTATTTAAGGCTCTTTTAATTCAACTTCTAACTTGATTTACTTCTAAGATTTTTATAAATTTCATATGTATTTTCTTCTTACATAAATTTCATTTTCAACTATAATATATATATATATATATATATATATATATATATATATATATATATATTTTCGGAACTTGAATTAACTAAAAAAATAAAAAAAATCCTGTTTTTTTTTTTTTTGAAAAATACGTAAAATATTCTAATAGAATATTATACTGACATATTCTAAAAAATAATTTTAAAATGCAAAATAAATGGAAAAATATAAAAATTCTTTTTTTAAATATTATTTTCGGAACTTGAATTAACTAAAAAAAATAAAAATAAATAAAAAAGATTCTATTTTTTGGAAAATACGTGAAATATTCTAAATATAATAATATTACACTGTACATATTCTAAAAATAATTTTAAAATGTAAAATAAATGGAAAAATCAAAAAATTCTTTTTTTAAATATTATTTTCGGAACTTGAATTAATTAAAAAAAAAAAATGCGTCTCACGGTCTTACAAAATTATACTGTCTCACATGAACGTAACTATATATATATATATATATATATATATATATATATATATATATATATATATATATATATATATATATATATATATATATATATATATATATATATATATATATATATATTAAAAAGGTGAAATTTGTTATTTAATTTTTGCTTTCTTCTAATTATTAAGATGTACTTGTTGTAGTTGTTGACAAAAATCTATTGAGCTACATCGAGTCGAGGTCATAATTTTTCTGGTCAGAGAAGTTTTTAGTTAAAGTTGAAATAAATAGAAAATCTTCATCCACAAAGGCTCTACACATTGAAGATCTTGAGAAGGGAGAAAAAGAACTCAAGTCAACAATGGAGGGGGAGATGAAAAACTTCGTATTTGTATGGACAACAGTCTTGGCATCTCTCCTTTTCTGCCGCAAAATCAGTAAAGTTATAGCACCAGGTACAACACGTCTTTTAGCATTCATACCTGTCTTCTGCATCTTCTTCTACCTCCCTCTCCTCCTTACTGCTGTTCATCTCGCCGGTACTACCTCTTTCTTCATAACCTGGCTTGCAAACTTCAAATTGCTATTGTATGCGTTTGATAAAGGTCCTTTGTACTCAAAGCCACCCCTCCCTTTGTCCAAATTCATCCTCACTGCTTGCGTCCCGATCAAAATCAGCGATAAATCCCAATCTAAGAAGATATCGACTCAAGTTAATGGAAAATCGAATCCGGAAGCTTCCGAAAGTGAAAAACCAGACAAATCTCAAGCTAACGGACACCGATCGGAGATCGGAGCAGGTGGAGATTCAAAAAAGGGAAAGAAATCGCCGATCAATTACCCCATCAAGTTTGTGGTGTTTGTTTTGTTGCTGAAGATTTATGAATATGGAGACCAGTTACACCCTCTGATGAAAATGGCTCTGTTTTGTGTTCATATTTATGTGGTTCTAGATGTAGGTTTAGCCATGGTGGCGTATTTAGCTCGAGCTATTGTTGGTTTCGAGCTCGAACCACAGTTCGATGAGCCGTATCTGGCTACATCTCTACAAGATTTTTGGGGAAAGAGATGGAATCTAATGGTTACAGGTATACTACATCCAACGGTGTACCTTCCCGTCCGATCAATCTTTGGTAGATTTCTATCGAGAGATTTAGCCTCGCTTCCGGCAGTAACGGCCACGTTTATCGTCTCCGGTTTGATGCACGAGTTAATATTTTATTACCTTGGACGACTAAAACCTACATGGGAAGTCACATGGTTCTTCGTGATTCACGGCGTGTTGGTGAGTGTGGAGTTGGTGGTTAAAAGGGCGGTGGGTGGAAGATTCCGTCTGCCGGCGGTGGTTTCCGGGCCGCTGGCGTTGGGTGTGGTGATGGCCACCAGCTTCTGGTTATTCTTTCCGCCGTTCTTGCGGTGTGAGACGGAACTCCGGTCGTGTAAAGAATTTGTTGCGTTCATGGAACTTGTTGTTCGTGGAAGATTTGTTGGTCCAAATGACGTATCTTGCCCTTACTATTGAAGCTAAACGCTCCAAAGATAGGAGGGTATATAAGACTTTTTGCTTTTAATATCTTATTTATTACTTTACTACTTCAGCTTACATATAATTGTTGGTGAATTTTCTCTTTTCTTTTATCCTTTTTAAGCGCTATTACGTTAGCTTTCAATATTAATCCAAAACATACATGTAATAATTTAAAAATAATATCAAATTCTCTTCTTTGATTTTCACAATCTCATCACGTTAGCATTTATTTTTATGTGGACATGTATTTTAAATATGGATGAGTCTATACGTATCTTTTGATTATGTCTTGTATTTTCTTTTTAAGTTTTTTTTTTTTTTTTTTTTGCTATTGTTTTTTGTTAGGAGGATATTCGATTTTGGTTTAAAATGTCCTTAATATTATTTTTAACATTCTAGGCATAAAGTTCATTTTTACTTGCTCAAAAAATCATCATCATAAAATCAAAGGGGTCGTTCAGTAATACTTGTGACCTATCAATCTGGTTGGCATTTTTAAACAAATTAACATGCTCATGTTGGCGTCCACAAAGATTTTCACAAACAATTTTATTTGTTTTATTTATTATTATTATTATTTTGACACGGTATCAAGAACATTTGAATATTTAAATATTAAGAACAAGAATACTCGAAGGGAAAATGACTTAAAAGCCCAATGAAGTTTTCAAACCATTCAAAAAACTTCAATCATGTTTTATTTGTTCAAAAAAACTCAACGAACTTAACCTTTTGTCTAAAAAATCCAACAAAGTTTTAAACCGTTCAGAAAATTCCAATTTTGTTTTGTCTAAGTTCGTTGGGTTTTTTTTTTTAACAGTCAAAACATGATTGGAGTTTTTTAAACGTTTTGGAAACTTTGTTGGTCTAACAAGTCATTTTTCCGATACGGTAATAAGCCACGTCATCTGTTTCTCTTATTTGACTTTCGAGAAAGTGTAATTTAGTTGGGCGTTTTAGATAAAATGTTATGTTTGTTGGGTTTTTTTGAACAGACAAAACATTATTGGGGTTTTTTAAATGGTTTGGAAACTTCGTTGGGCTTTTAAGTCATTTTCCTATATTTGAAAGTTGAAAAGTAAGAACATTAACCCATAAACAAACATATAGTTTACTATTCAAATCGAGTAAGTATGCAAATGCTCTTCCTCTTTATTTCTATAAAACTCTTAAACCTCCAAATGCTTTTAATCACACAATGACCTGTGATGAAGTAAAAACCAAGAATATTTTACATTCTAACTTCCAAACTAACCTCAAAAAATCTGGAATGGAAGCCTAAATTTTGAACAAGAACCCACAAAAAGCAAAACCTAAAATCAGAAATGGAAGCTTGAAATCTAAACAAACTTTTTCCAAACTTTTTGTCCAAAGTCTTTTCAGATCCAAGACATAGGGTGTGTTTGGCAAAAATAGTTGTTAGCTGGAAGCGGGTAGCGGTTAGCTGATAGCGTGTAGCAGGTAGCTGGTAGCGAGAAGTTGTAGCTTTTATTTGTTATATAAATGTTTGGCAAAAGTAGTTGGAAGCTTTTGAAATATATAAAATTATATAAAAAGACAATTGATTAAAAATAAATAAATATATAAATATATTTTTAAATGTAATAATGGAAATTGATTTCAAAAGCTCAGGAACGTTTTGCTAATGTTACATGTGTTGGAATAGTGTCTAAGGCTATAACTATATTCGGTGGTGCATGGTCCTTTTGGGTTGTCTTCACCATAGCAACTTGAAGGATGATTTATTAAGAGAGAGAGTAAATATTATAAGGAATAATATTTAGCTATTTGATTAATATAAGTCATAAATTAATTGGTATTAATTTGGTGACTTAAAGAGATTAATTAAATAAGAGGGTATAAACTGTCAATTGTTTGATAGTTAGACTTTAGACTATAAATCCATTAGGATGGACTTTGGACGGATTCTAAGAGCTTTAGGATAGCTCAAAATCGTCCATAAGGATATCTATGGAATGGATTTGGATAGCCTTAAGAGAAGATTATCCAATTAGGGTTTAAGGTGAAACCCTTAAGGAGTCTAAAGGTATAAATAGGCCCTTGGGATGTGGAATTCGTGTACAACCTTTCAGAACCTAAAGCAAGGAACCTCTGGTCGAATTCCATCCCCTCTCCTCTCTCCTAAATCATCTTGCTTGCTATTGGTGTTTGTAAGCCATTAGAGGAGTGACAATTGTGACTCTAGAAGCTCCAAGACAAGAAGATCAACAAGGAACTCAAAGGTATGATTCTAGATCTGTTTTAATGTTGTTGTTTAACCTAATTAGCCATTAGAAGTCTTGGATTCAAAAGCATGTTTATTAGAAAGCCTAGATCCAAGCAATAGGGTTTTGCATGCGCACATAGGAAAGTTCTTATGGCTAAAACCCAACAGTGGTATCAGAGCCTAGATTGGTTTTCTTTAAATTGTTGCTTGAATAACTGAAACAAACCTGCAAAATTCGATTTTTTGGGTTTTGAGTCACTGACTCGGCGAGTTCCAAGGTGGACTCGTCGAGTAGGCCTGACTCGTCGAGTCCCCTTGTGCACTCGGCGAGTCCAAGCGTCAGGAAGGGCCAGATTCGGGATTTTTTCATAATTATCTTGTGGAAACTTACCTTAATCATATTAGATCAATGTAAATCCGATTTTTTGATAAATATGATTGTCATCTTGATCTAATTAAAGATATTTATCATCTAATAAAATATTTAATTTCCTTCTATGATAATAATTAATTATTTTTGGTAATTATCTTCAAAGAAATCAAGATAAATCAAATAAAGATAATTAGAATATTAAATTGTTAATTGGAATTATTTGTTATTTGATCCTCCATGTTTTTAAATGTTTAAAACCTACCCTATAGTTTTGAAATTTATATTTGTGATTAAAAGCTTTAATTTAGACAACTTAAATTTCAAACCCTAGATTTTGAAAAGTTTAAAATGCAACCCTATACTTATATGATATTATTAGAATAATATATATATGTATAACTAAATGCTAGTCTTACCGCTAGTAGGCCTCATTCACGAAGCCGATCTATAAGGTGGGTATAAGGTTGCGGCCTATAAAATGGCGCTTAATGGGTGTACACTCACACCCACCGCTTGCTTGATTGGTGGAGGGTCGTTAGCCGAACGGGTAGGATAGGGCAACCTCATCCTCTCATTAAAAGTATAATAAGAAATACGAAGTAACTAAACTTTCTTTTTAAATTTCCCAATCTTAGTTACTTTAGGAAAAGTGAATTGATGCAATCCCATGAAATTACACTTTGCACCTTGCTAAGATGTTAGTGGAGCGTGTGTGGTTTACCGGCACACTAATTGGTTCTAAGCGAAGGTGGCAAAGGGTGATTCATTGTTTATCATAGTTCGATGGAGCGTGTGTGGTTTACCGGCACATCGAATAGGTGATCGTAACAATGAAGGCACCATGTAAATTTGCATGGTAATTCACACCCGCTTTGTGATCCTCGGCATCCCAGTCACAAACAAGAGGGGCATATCGAGATTTAAACATGCCATTGAATAGTTCAATGAATCTCATCCGAACCTAGGAATTCTCAAAAACACTTAGGACTAAAAGTTTAAGTTTTGTAATGGAGAATTAGTGAATCGTCATTCACTTACCTTCAATTTATTTGCATGTTGGATTACGGCATCCCTTTTCTAGTATGTAAATGTTATTGTTGGATCCTAGCCCTAATTTTCTTATTGGGTGATAATTAGGGATTCTTGTTCTAATCTATCTTTGTCCTTTCTATAGATGTCAAACGCAAACAACGCTGCTGCTAGTTCTTTCACGTTGATGAGCCTTTGCCAAAAGGTCACCTTCGATGGAACGAACTTTGGCGAATGGATAAGATACATTCGCACCATTGCTCGCTATGAGGATAAAGAGTATGTCCTCGACGAGAAGCTCGAGAAAATCAACCCAGAAATTGCTACTCCCGCCGAAATCACCGCCTTTGAAACCCATGAGCGAGATGCGATGAAAGTACATTGCATCATGATCGCCACCATGAACTCCGAGTTCCAAAAGTCCTACGAGGACATGTATCCATACGAGATGCATCAAGACTTGTTGGAGAGGTACCACCAAAACGCGAGACAAGAGCGTTACGAGATCTTCACTAACATGATTTCCGCTAAGATGGGTCATGGAGAATCTCTTACCGTGCACTTGCAAAAGATGCAAAGGTATGTCGACCGCCTTCGCAAGTTAAATGTTGACTTCGGCGAAGACTTGGCGATCGACATGGTGCTTCACTCTTTGCCTCCATGTATAATCAATTTAGGATGACCTACCACATGAACAAAGAGGAGGTCACTCTAAGTAAACTCCAAGGTCTCTTGAGGGTTGCTGAGAGCAATTTCAAGGACAAGTCTGTTGCACCAACTCCCAATCCGTCTGCTGCTCCTGTCTTGGCTATTGGTCAAGGGAAGGGAAAGAAGAGGAAAGCTTCTTCAAATAACTATCGAAAGGTGAAAGCCCGAGATGGTTCCTCTTCTAGTGGGACCAAAGTTGATCCCTCTAAGCCCTGCTCTAACCCGAAGGAGGCAGAGTGCCACCACTGCCATAAGATAGGACATTGGAAGAGAAGCTGCCCGGATTACCTGCAAGCCATCAAGGAAGGAAAGATCAAGCCATCTTTCGCAGGTATATATGCAATAAAATCTAACGATTCTAATCATGCTATTTCTTGGGTTCTTGACACCGGTTGTGGTTATCACATTTGTTCTAATGTGCAGGGACTAAAAGAAGTAGGGATGTGGAGCAAGGAAGGATCAATCTAATCATGGGGAACAGAAGATCGTCGCCTGTGACCAAGATTGGAGTGTATTCTTTGGTGCTTAAGAATAGTTTAGTTTTAGATTTGAACAATTGTTTCTATTCGCCAGAAATGGCTAGAAACATCATTTCATTTCATGGTTTATATAGACAAGGTTTTAGATTTTCTTTTAATAATGAGAATGGTTCTATTT